CGTACACATGACATATAAAACCGAGCTGCTAATATAAATACACAACCCACTTCTCTTCAAGCACGTCAATTAAACTTATTTTATTATCTACGCTTTGATTATTCTCTTTTTTTAATATTATAAGTACTTAATCAAAAATATCTTTTTTTTAAAAAATGAGTCGACTCTCAGTATTTGTAATTTTTGTGATGACTTTAATCGCGTCCGTTTTATCTGGTAGAGTATAAACTATATATATATATACATATATACATATATATATATATATATATATTATACAGCATTTAAAAGATGAATATTAATTAAAAATATAAAATAAAATAGATACCGCTCAAATAAACACACCTTCCAACCAAGTGCAAGGTAGCTTGTATACTATCACATGGATATACAATGGTACAAACGATGCAGTCGGAAGTCTCTTACTCAATAGCAGAAATAATACTAGCAATGTCTTTACAATTGCCAAGCAAATTAAGTTAAGCACCCAAGCTTATCAATGGTCTGTTGATCAAGATCCAGGAACTTATTTTTTGTCATTATCTTATCCTTCGGGTAATGCGGAATCGGGAAATTTTCAGATTGTAAAAAGTGGTAGTAGTAGCAATAATAATAACAATAACAGTACTAGTAATAGCAGTAATAGTACCAATAGTACCAATAGTACCAATAGTAACAATAGCACCAATAGCACCAATAGCACTACTAATAGTGATAATAGCACTATCACCTCTAGTCCTATTCCCACAAACTCAGCCGGATCTTCCGCTACTTCAACAAAACCTCCAAGGTAAAATTCATTATAATTGTAATTGTCGGAGCTTTATTGTTTACCGAATACTAAATATTTTCAACCTTTTCATTAAAGCAACCGAAATACTGGCTCACCTAGCGCATCAAATAATGCAAACAAAATGATTATTGATTCCTCTTTATTCACGACTGGTCTATTTTGTTTGGTGCTTTCATCTTTGCTAATAATCTAGCATAATTTATTATCAAAGTTTAGTTATAATCATAATAATTGTTGTAAAGAGAAAAATTATTTAATGATCTTCTGAATACATCCGGGATAAAGTGTCAGCATTTTGATTTTTTCTTCCAGGTTGATAAGTAATAATAAAGGTATATTCCATAAGAGACATGATCCAACGGTTTACTCTAGCAGAATGACTTGATTGATTT